TTTGTTTTTTGTTTTCATTTTCTTTTTAATGAGCAAGAGCAGAGCTAGTGGACTGCTGCAGGATATTCAAGCAAAGTGTGGGAAAATGTGTCACTGTTTCTCCTTGCTAAGGCACCTGATTGGTTTAATAAAGTGCCAAATGGTCAACAGTTAGTCAGGAGAGGTTAGGAGGGCAAAGAGAGGAACTCAGGATCAATCTGGGCATGCAAGAGATGCCAGTGAGTACTAAGGAATCAGACATATAGAATGAAAGAGAGATAAAAAGACACTTGGTAGAATATAGATTAGTAGAAAAAGGTTATTTTATAAGGGCTACTTGGGAACAAGCCTAAGCTAAAGGCCAAGCTTTCATAATAATAAGTCTCCCTGTCATTATTTATGGGCTGGTTATTCAAAGCAAGTTCAATGAGAAAGCTAACTACAGCAGACTGCTGTCCAAAGTCAAATGAGTGGATCAGATGAATGATTCCATTAAACAGACAGGCAAGGATTGACCTTACACCCAGCTTACTCAGCTCTGTGCCAGACTGTTCATCAAGACTTTAAAAATTAACACACAACATGACAATGTGTACAGAAACTCTGTGAACACTTTGAGAGATCTGAGAAATGTTTTAAACAATTCTTCACTATAGAAGATGGAAATTTTCAAGACACCATATCACCTGTCTGAAGAAGAGTTGTTGTGCCTGTCAAGTGGCACCAATCCAGCCAGGCCATTTTCCAAACCAACTTCCCAAAATGTTTAAAAAGACTGCATTAGAAAAAAAGCCACTCAATTCATGAATTCATAACCCCAGTAATTTATCAGCCAGACGAGAGCTCCATAGCCTTCAATGGAGTCTACAAAATCAAAGGGGCTTTTTTTTCCATTGTTGAAAAAAAACCTTGAAATTTTTTAAAGAATTGCTTTAGATTCAAGAGGTAACTAGAGCAAATTGAGACCCCTCTGTTAAACCTCATCAAGACAATCCAATTAGCTTCTCATAGAAGTACTCAGAGGCTTATCTGGAAATCTCCCCTTTTCCCCTCACTGACACTGACACTAAAGTGACTTGAATGGTCAATAGTCCCCGGCTCTGAGTAACACTGCTTCTGCCCTCAGCTCACTACTTTAAATTGTTCCCATCCTCAGAGCACATACAATGTTGGAATGGATGCTGGGAGGTTCTGATTGTGCTGTCATCATTTTTACATCCCAGCCCATAATGTTACAAGTGAAGCCCCTCCTGGGATTTTGCTCCTACCTATTTGTCTCATCTGCACTAGTATTCCACACCCCCGTGTGTGTGTGTGTGTGTGTGTGTGTGTGTGTGTGAGAGAGAGAGAGAGAGAGAGAGAGAGAGAGAGAGAGGTTACATGTATATGTTTATGAATGCATGTGAGGCAAGAGGTTATCCTGGGGTATGGTCCTCAGGAGCCATTCACCTTGCTTTCTTGAGACTTGATTTTCACTAGCACCTGGGGCTCACTTATTTGTCTAGACTGACTGGCCAGTAAACTCCAGGGATCTGTCTTAGTTAGGGTTTCTATTGCTGTGAAAAGACACCATGACCACATCAACTCTTATAAGGGAAAACATTTAATTGTGGTGGCAGTTCACTATCATCATGATGGGGGGGCATGGTGGCATGTAGGCAGACATGGTACTAGAGAAGAAGCTGCTACATGTTGATAATTCAGGTAACAGTAAGTCGTCTATCTCCCTGGGTGTGAGTTGAGCATATATGAACCCTCAAATTCCATCTCCATATTGTCACACATCCTCCAACAAGACCACACTTACTTCAACAAACCCACTACCTTTGGGGGCCATTTTCTTCCAAGTCACCACATTCCAGTCCCTACAAAGTGTTGTAACCATATCATAATGTGCATTTAGTTCAACTTCAAAGTCCCCATAGTTTATCACAGTCTCAACAATGTTTTAAAGCCCAAAGTTCAAAGCCTCTTCTGAGATTCATGTACTCTCTTAATTATAATCCCCTATAAAATCAAAATTAAAAAACAGATCCCATACTTCCAACATATAATGGCACAGGATATACATTACTGTTTCAAAACATAGGGAAGGGAGCATACTGAGGAAATATTGAACCAAAGCAAGAAAACCAGCTGGGCAAATTCCAAACTCTGCATCTTCATGTCTGATGTCAAAATGCTTTTCAGATCTCCAACTCTGTTCAGCTCTGCCGACTGTAACACACTTCTTTTGAAAGACCCCTACCCAGGACCCCCTAGGAAAAGAAAAGCAAGGCCAGGCCGTTGCCTAGTGGAAAAACCCAGACCAGGTGTCTCACCCTCAAAACAGGATGTCTGTGATCACTATAGCAGTCATGGGACCCGGATAATAATTGCTGAAGCATTGTGGGAACTTTCATATGACAATACTAGAAAACCTAGTCCTTGGCAACTACCCTGGCCCCCAATTGTGTCTGATCACTATAGCAGTCATGGGACCCGGATACTAATTGCTGAAGCGTGCTGGGGTCTTTCATGTAGGAAACCTAGTCCTTGGCAACTACCCCTGCCCCCAAGATGATCTCAGCCCATGCTTAAGTAGCTAATGAAATACCTGTTGCTATGTTGATACTTATGTAACCATTAAAATTCTATAAATATTGTACTCCCTACAAGCCCGGTATGCTCTGCACCCGAGTTGCAGTAGCATCCGCAGGCGCCTGTGTACTCAATAAATCACCTCTTGCATTTGCAGCCAGTGGTCTGGCCCCGGTTCTTGGGCAGAGGGTTCGGTTCAGTGCCTGGCGCTTTGATGCCGAGGTCTTTCACTTTCTCTTGGTCTGGTCCACTCCCTGGTAGCAGCTCTCCTCAGCAGGTATCCCACAATTCTGGCATCTCCAACGTCTTGACGTCTCCAAGCCAATTCATGCTTCAACTTCACTGCTTCATGCAATGGCCTCTCTAGGCCTCCATTCACTGGCAACCCTGACACATGCCTGGACTCAGCAACTTTTCTTAGTCATGGGGGCAAATCCCATATCTTCTTTTTTCTATCCTTAACTTTAAAGTCAAAACCATGTGGCCAAAGCTGCCAAATTCTGCTGTTCTCTGGGGCTCAAACATGGTTCCCCCATTCCATTATATCTTCACCAGCTTTCTTTGATTGTTACCTTTACTCTCTAAATTTGACTGTCCTTGAACTTGCTCTGTAGATCAGGCTGGCCTCAAACTCAGATCCATCAGTCTCTGCCTTCTAAGTGCTTGGATTAAAGGCTGTACTACTACACCCGGCTTTAATCTTTTCTTTAGTTCCTTTTCACAAGTTGGAAACTTAGCTGGGTAGGATACTTCCCTGAGGTTACCACTCCTTTTATTTAGTTTTTTTTTCATCCATTTATCTCCTTGAACACAGGATTTATCTCTATTCTACTTCCTGGTGCCCCTTTTCTCAATCTGTTTTGTACTTCTATTTGCACAGCTTTCCCCCTTTCATTATAAATCTTCACTAGAGTTACCACTAGTAACCACACAACAGAGTCTATACTAGGCTGTTTGAGATTTCCTCTGCTAATGGAATTAATCCAGAGCTTTTCACTTTAGCCTCAGGGCAGACTATTCAGATAAGGGCAAAACTCAGCTGCATTCTTTACCAAACTGTCACAAGAATGATCTCTAGGCAACATACTAAAGTTCTCTGAAACCTTTTGAGCCAGTCCTCCACAGTTCAAATTACTCTTAGCACCTCTGTCTTCCATATTTCTGTCAGTATGGCCTATTAAGCAGTGCATAAAGTATCCCTCTGCTTTCATAACCCAAAGTACCAAAGTCCAAATTCCCCCAAACAAACACATGCAATCACAGCAATATACTGCCGGTACCAACTTCTGTCTCAGTTAGGGTTTCTATTGCTGTGAAGACACACCATGACCACCTATCACAGCAATACCCCACTCCTGGTATTAACTGTCTCAGTTAGGGTTTCTATTGCTGTGAAGACACACCATGATCATGGCAACTCTTACAAAGCAAAACATTTAATTGAGGTGGTGGCTTACAGTTTCACAAGTTTAGTCTATTATCATCATGGCGGGAAGTGTGGCAGCATGCAGGCAGACATGGTGCTGGAGAAGGAGCTGCTACATGTTGATATGCAGGCAACTGGAAGTATACTTTAATACTGGGCATGGCTTGAACATACATGAGACCTTAAAGCTCACCTCCACAGTGACACACTTCCTTCAACAAGACCATACTTACTCCCAACAAAGCCGCACCTCCTCCTTTTGGGGGCCATTTTCTTTCAAACCACCACAACAGTCCACCCCACATTTGTGTCAGGGGGTATGTCACTGGATTAGGTAGGTAATCGTTTTGAGACAAACCCTCTTTTGTATCAATGGTTTTGTTCAGCAATGCAACTTTCCTGTCAAAATCAAGGGCACAGAGAACATCGTACCATAATGTCACTTTCAAATGTCAGGACTTCAGTGTCTAAAAGGAGCATGGAGAAACTGATTGATACAGTAATTGCATTATTAATATAGGCACACTTCTGCAGCTTAATCTTTAATGTTCCCATGGCATCAGGGTCTGCCCTCACTGAATTTCTTCAGCTCCCGGGTCTTTGTACATCTGATGTCCTCTCAAGCACCACCAGAGAAAGTTGAATTGAACATGCACATTTGAAAAGACACAAACGCCAAGTGATTTGGTGGCCTCCTAAGAAAACTTGGTTTATTGTTAGGACAATAAATTTCATGTTCTGATGACGGCCCAATTTCAGCGCTTGGGGCAGTGACTAGCATGATAAACATTAATTTAAAAAAGCAGTAAACATTAGTGACTAAATAAACCAGTTCTTTCTGAGCACGTTTTAGGTCCAGATAGAGTCCGAATTCTATGTTTACATGCTGATTATCTTGAAGCGGCAGTCATTTGCGCGAGGGGTGGGGCAGCCCGGAGTCACCAAAGGCGACGGGCGGAACCGCTAGAGCAGACTGTCGCGCAGGTGTGACGCAACGACCCCGCGTCTGCGCAGACGTAGTCACCAAAGAACGTGGAGCAGTGTCAGCATGGCGGCCCCCGTCCAGCAGTCCTCTCAACCGGTCGGCGGAAAGCGCAAAGGCAAGGCCCAGTTCCTGCCGGCCAAGCGGGCCCGGCGCTTCGACGCAGGCGGGCCGCGGCAGCTGGAGCCTGGCCTGCAGGGCATCCTCATCACCTGCAACATGAACGAGCGCAAGTGCGTGGAGGAGGCCTACAGCCTGCTCAACGAGTATGGCGACGACATGTACGGACCCGAAAAGGTACCGGCCTCGGGGAGAACGAGCCGCCTGCACGACTCTGCCGGGGGAGCGGAAGCGCAGTTGCTTTGATGCGCCTTTACGCTGCTTGCATGACCTCGCCTACCTTCCCGCCCCCGGTGTGGCTGCTATTGAGGTCGCCTGCCTGGTGGGTGTGTACTTATGGGCTGGTTCTTTGATCATTTCTTAATATCACTAATGACGGTGGCCCCCACGTATTGATTGCCTCCTATAGACCAGGTAGTGTGCTGAACAACTTTCAGAAGCGAACTTCTTGCGACCATGTGAAGTTGGTACAAGCAAAAATTTCGGAGGCAGTGGAAGTTTGATAGGGATTCTAGTTTCCATGTGTACTTGAAAATACATTTAAGAAACTAAAAACGCGTGAACCCCAAAGCTCATTCTGTGGCAGTCTGGAACACACCTACCTGCACCCCCTGAAGTGTGGAGAAAGATAGTGCAGCGGGTCCCATTATTTGAGAGGAGGGGGCAGAATATGAATTTGCAAAGACTCCTCCAATGTGCACAGTTATTTTTATGACCTGATTGTAGTGAAAACCCCCTTGGTAGGACAGAGAGCTGGGCAGCAGGCACATGTCTTGTCTATGCTGGTGTCTTGTGCAAGTTTCTTTTTGTTGTGGTGGTGTTCCTTTTGTTTTTGAAGGGAGACTTTGCTGGCTACCTTAGACTGGCTTCAGTTTCCCACGTGTAGGGATTACAAGTATTGGGCACTGTACCTGGCTTAAGCAAGTTATTGTCCTTCTGTGCCCTGTTTCTTAGTAGAGCGGGAGTAATGGTTTTAGTTCTTTTATGCATATGATTCTAATCTTACCAAAAGAGAGTATCCTGTCAGCCACAATGGTACGTAATGATGGTGTTAAAGTCCAGTGTGACATGCTTCATCTGCTGAACATATCGCCTGCCTCTGTACAGATATTTCTGAAACCATTTCCAGATGACACCTGCCACAGTCACGGAATTCATTTTGTAGTCTATATTTTGGAAGTAGTATTATTTTAGTCTTCTAATAAAAACGTTTATAGTAAACATTGAGACCTCCACCCTTGGGGGTTTCACATACATAGTTAATTACAGTGTTTGAACATGAACTGATGTGTTGTTTTCGTTTATTGGTTTCATGTAAACAGTTTATAGACAAGGACCAGCAGCAGTCTGGAAGTGAGGGAGAAGACGATGTGGAGGCCGCCTTGAAGAAAGAAGTTGGTGACATTAAGGCTTCTACAGAGATGAGACTGAGAAGATTCCAGTCAATGGAGAGTGGAGCAAATAATGTTGTCTTCATCAGGACCCTTGGGATAGGTGTGTCTGAATAATAACCCTGAGATCACTGGTCCCACAGTGTCTGGGCATCTCTTTCTTAGCAGATACTGCCTAGACAGTGGGCTTCGTGGTATGGCTGTCAGTCACTCCGTGCTAACATCCCCCTGTTCCATCAGTTGTAGGTCAGTGCCCAGGTGTTTCTGAACCCATTTTCAGATGACATAGACCATACTTGGGTAATTTGGCTTTTTTTTTACTCCACATTTTGGAAGTATGTTATTTTTGTCTTCTAATGTGAAGAGATGGAAGGTAGTGAGGAGAGCATTGACTTAAGAGTGGGGACCTGGCTGTGCTACATGTTGTTAAAATGTCTAAGTTTACCAGTAACAAGACACAGACTGTGACTCAACGATCCCACGTGGAGTTTTATTGATAGACAGGGAAGGAAAGGGGGCGGTGAGGGGTAACCAACCCATGCAGAGCTGAGAGAGAGAGAGATGAGAGATGAGATGGAGAGGAAGATGAGAGTAAAAGAGAGCATAAGCAGGCAGGGGTCAGTCCTTTAAAGGGGTCCTTTGCACCTGCATGGTTCTCACAGAACTCTGGGCTGGCCAGAGTGCTGCCTGAGTGCATCCTGCCAGGTAACAGGGCAGGCCAGCGCAATGCCTATCCTTTCACTACGTCCTTCCTTTGTACGTAACTTAAGGTAGAATGAAAGTGTATGTTCTGTCTCAAAAGAGCAGCTGCTATTTAGAACCAGGTTTAGTTTCCACTTCGGAATGGGGAGGCTGATCCAATTAGTTAAAGGCTTGGAAATACACACTAATTCAAAAATATTAACACTGACGTCTCAGGCAGATGTGTGTGGTTGGGAAGTAGTCTATGATTCACTGTGTCGTGGTATGCTACACTGTGTTTGTACTACATGGTGCTGGGATTCTTTCCCAGCTGAGAGCTGGCTGTACGAAGTAACTAGTGGATTGAGTAAGTCTTGAAGTGATTTTGTTTTTGTAAAATTGTGCTGTATAATGCTTGTTACTCTAATTTGTATTAACAAGAACACAAAAGTAAGGTATTGTGGTTTATTTAAGTAAGGACATCCCAAAGCATTGATTCTGGAGACTGTATCAACATTTATTTATAGCAAAAGCAGTAAAGATAATGAAAAGTTAAAGTGTATGATAGGCACTAGAAAAATATTAGTTGGTACAAAACCTTGTTTTTTCCTGTGTAATTTCATTTTTTCTTTTCTCTTAGAACCTGAGAAATTAGTGCATCATATTCTCCAGGATATGTACAAAACCAAGAAAAAGAAGACACGAGTTATTCTTCGAATGTTGCCCATCTCAGGCACATGTAAAGCTTTCTTAGAAGATATGAAAAAATATGCAGAAACATTTTTGGAGCCCTGGTTTAAAGCCCCAAACAAAGGGACATTTCAGATTGTCTACAAATCTCGAAATAACAGCCATATGAATAGAGAAGAAGTTATTAAAGAGCTGGCAGGTGGGTTTTCTTAGTGATTTTATAGATGGGAGACAGAGTCTCTGGTAAAAAGCCTTTGAGTCAAAATTGGGTATTTGGGAAAGTACCATTAAAAGCCCATATACATGGGAGATTGGTCATTAGATCCCTTAGGAGTACCAAAACCTCCACGTGCCCAGGTAAGTCTTATATAACCTGGCTGTTTTGATGAATTTGTATATAAACTGCACATACTTTCCCATATACTTTATATTGTCTTTGGTTTGGATCTCTTATAATAAATACTAAGTCTGATGGAATGTCTATGAAAATAGTTGAACTGTCTTGTTTAGTGGTAATGACAACTAAAAACTGTGTTCATGTTAAGTACAGATGTTATTTTCTTCCCTAAATATTTTGATTCACACTTAATTGGGTTTGTGCACATGAATGCAGTGTCCACAGAAGCCAAAGCGACTGTAATAACCTTTTGAGCTGACTGTCTAGCCTTCCAGCCTAAGTGCTGGGAACTGATGGGTCTTTTGCAAAAGCAGTGCATGAACATAGTCACTGAGTCATCTCTCCACTCCAACTGTTCTCTTATTAAATGTCTCAAGGTTTCATTTGTATTTATTTATTAAAAACCAAAGTATTAATGGAGTTTGATTGATGGCCACATAGAACAGTGAATTTTTGTAAACCCGTTTTTTAACAAATCCCAGATAGTAAGGGATGAAAGCCTGTTTGACTTCATCAGGCTTAGTGATATCCTTCCATCTTATCCCATTTTCCTGTTTTTGTTACAGGAATAGTGGGCAGCCTCAATTCAGAAAACAAAGTGGATCTCACTAATCCAGAATACACGGTGGTGGTAGAAATCATCAAAGCTGTGTGTTGCCTGAGTGTTGTGAAAGATTATGTGCTATTCAGAAAATACAACCTCCAAGAGGTTGTAAAGAGTGCAAAAGACTCACAGCCACACCCAAAGCTGGGAAATGGCAAAGAATCAAAATTGGAACCTGATGGCAAGTTGAATCAAAATGATCCTTCAGATGGGAAGAATAACCCGCAGGTGGCACCAGAGAGCAGCGAGGAGCCTGGGCAGAGAAAACCAAGATCTGAAACCCAGGCAGGGAATGAGGAAGAAGTTAAACCTGAACTTGAAAGTCAAGTCTCGGAAGGACCCACAGCAAAGGAAAATGAACTCTCATAGGTCTTTCTGTGGGGGAGGTGGTTCTCAGCTGGGGTTCCATGTAAAATTGTGATAATATATTTTGACTTTTGTGTGCTGCTTAATGCTGATCTCACAACCCCTGTTGACGGTCTTGTTAGAGCCTTTCCAGGCCTTTATGTCAGTGTGTACAGACCAATGTACTGTTAACCTAGGGGAGGGTGGGAGGAGGATGGCGTTGACCTCTGCCTCCTGACTGCTTTCTCTAGTTTCCCTTTAAGCACTGCCTACTGATGTGGAACTGAACAGTATCTTAGTGGGAGATCAGCAGGACATTCTCATTCCGAGGAAGTTATGTGCCACCTACAGCTCCGCTGTCCCTGCTGTCTCATTGTACACACAGAGAAGTGGCACTGTGGACTATGTGGGAATCACTTTGTGATGGCTTTGTACTTTTTCTGTTTTTTCTTGTTTTGTTTGTTTTAATGTTAAGAGCAAATCTGATGGCCCATGGCTGCAGTTTCAGAGATGTGAGGTAGAAGAGAACTGTTCCAGGTGTAGACCCATGGATGTTTCTGATAAGGTTAGGGATGAGGAATCACTCTGCCGAGTCACTTCAAATACTAGTACAAAACAGCGAAAAGCTACTGCACCAGATTTCACTGGCGTGCTGTCCAAGCTGTCCTTTCAGTTTGTCGAGCTTTCAAGAGTTCCTCACAGGTAGAGAATGTAAAGGGTGGAAGAGACCTATGAGAACTGCAAAACCAACAGTCAAGGTAGGGACTGCGAAGTGGCTGTAACATTAGGATGGGGGAAAAGTTTGTGCTTAAATCTTAAAACAAGTTAGGAAGAGTGGAAATGCTATGGTTCTTGGCACAAGTGGCTAAATAAAGAGCTAGTGACATGAGAATGTATTTATTCTCAGATAACTAGAGGCTTGCTTGGTGAGCCAGACCATGAGGCTATGGGAGACACAGAGAAAAGGCAGCACCTTGCTAATGCAGATGGGGCTGGAGTATCCTCAGGGGTTTTGACATGTTAACTCAGGTCTGAGATTGAAACCATCTTGAAAGGATGTGTGTTAGTGTCACCTAGGGGGAAAGGGAGGAGAGAATCCTTGTGCCTTTTTGAGGCTTTCTCCGAGAAAAAGGGACTTTTCTTAGTGTAGGACAAAGGTCCTGGGGATAAATTACTGTTTGCTCAGACGCAATGTTTTGGAGCTTGGTGAAGATGCTACACTTAGATTTTGATTTATACTTTGGTTTTGATTGCCTTTTTACTTATTTGTGTTTAGTAAAACCTGAGTGTGACTTGTTTGCTAGTTATACAATACCATGTGTCTTGGAATCTAAGTTCACTTACTCATTTTGCTTTGCTTTCAGATTTGACGACTACATTTTTACTGACATTTCAGTGTGTTAGTTTACAGATGATCCCAGGGTAGGAATTGAGTGTGGTTTTTTGTCTGTTTGTTTTTGTTTTTGTTTTAAGCTATAGCAGTTAAAACAGAAAATAAAGAAGCAGAAACCAAATCCCAGTGATGTGGGCCAGTGCACCTGTCCTGCTCTGCAGACAAAGGAGTTAAGCTTGGTACTGTAAGACACTCTTCTCCAAAGCTGAAGGAAAGTTTTCAGATGTTTTCACTTGCATTTTGTTCTTGGTACAGCTGAATGTTCAGGTTGTTTTCATAGTTCTGATATTTTAAAAAATAAAAATGGATTCGTTCTATGAAGTTTGGCATTCTGTACTTTATTTTCTGCCCCATATTAAATGGCTTTCTATGTGCATAGTGTGTTTGTCATAAAATGCTTATGTGTATGATTACGTATCAAAAATTCAGGTTCATAGACCTAAAAAGTAAAGATAATTAAAATTTGTTCATGAATAATTAATTCTTAAGAAAAATTTAAAGTATTTTGTAGGATTTATTTCAAACAAACACCAATCCCATACTGAATTTCATTAAACTCACTAACTGATCTGTGAATCATTTATACTCCTAATTTGAACAGTATTTTCATCTGTCTGCTTGAGCAATTGATTTCATAAAGACTAGTTATGCAGACATCTTAAACATTTCTCTTGGGACATCTTAATCAGGACAAGATGAATAAAGCACAGACTCATGGCATGCTGCCCTTTCTCTGGAGTTATTTGGCCCTGGCCATTTTAAACACTTCGTTCTATGTGTTGGTTTGAGCAACATAATAGCATCCGTCTCAAATATGTTTAGATTTTGCTTTTTAGTTTTATTGCTTTTTATTTAACTTTTGTACAAACAAAAGCTATTTTCAAACAGGAAAAGAATCATAAGGCATTTTAAGCATGTGTGTAGTCACTGAATTTTCAGGAAGTAAGTACTAAAACAGCTGTGTTGCTCCATAGTCCCGCCTCATTCTTATCCAGCTACGCTCGGCCCCACTCCTGGTCTCTTAACACATTGCGTTTGATTTTCCCAGTGATCGTCTTTGGGAGTTCTTGAACAAATTCCACCTAATTGATAGAAAAACACATTGTCAGGCTCTGGGTTCCATTTACCCCGCTGTCAGTGCAGTATGCAAACTCTGGCTAAGGGTTACATTTTGGAGACTCCCAGCTTTGTGTGTCCTGTCAAAAGCAGATAATCTCTTCACCCTTTCTTTTGGCTTTCCTCTGCTAGACCTAAGACTCAACTGCTTTGTACAACATCTGATTCAGAGAAAAGGTTTTTTTCTTAAAACATTGGATTTTTAAGTGTTTGGATCCAACGAATCTGAGGAAAATCTTGGTGATTTATGGAGTACGTAGTTTTCACCTTATTTGCCCATAAACTTCCGTCTTCAATTGCTTCTCTCAAGATAATATTGTATCTTGAATGGCTTCAGATCTCTTTTCTGAAGGTCAAAGGGTTAGCAGTTTAGTTATTTTAATAGAGAAAGTGTGAGCATGGTTGGATCAGATCACATGAAATACATACATATTGGCCCAAATGATGCCAATGGAGACCATCCGGTGGCAGCTGTGATACTCCAGTGCTGGGACATACCACAGCATCTTTGTCTTTATATGTGCCTGTTCTGTTCTTCATTTGAAGAACAGTTCAGAGTCTGTCTCTGTCTCTGTCTCTCTCTGTCTATCTCTGTCTCTCTCTCTCTCTCTCTCTCTCTCTCTCTCTCTCTCTCTCTCTCTCTCTCTCTCTCTCTGTGTGTGTGTGTGTGTGTGTGTGTGTGTGTGTGTGTGTGTGTGTACTAAGGTTAAGTGAGGCCACATGGACATCTTGGGCTTATAGGGCTATCATATCCTAGTTGTCCTCTAGAGCAGTTGCCACTAATTAAAAATTAGGGACTTGTTGATTCTTCCATTCATTTTCCCATTATAAAATGGGCCTAACTAGTGCTGAAGATATTCTTAGTATTGAAGTCAGTTTTTTTTTATTTGTATGTGTATGTGTATTTTCTTTTCATGTGTCTGAGCATACCTATGTGTGGGTACAAATGCAGATATATGCTTGTGCCTGTGGGGGTCCGGTATTGGGGTCAGGGATTATCTTCAGGTACTTTTCCACCTTTCATGGAGGCCAGGTCTCTTAATCAAACCCAGAGTTTCAGATATGGCCATTCTTGCTAGCCAGCTAGCTCTGGTGTTCTCCTACCTCTGTCTTGGCCAGCTTGCTCTAGTGTTGTATCTCTGCCTTCCAAAGCTAGAATTACAGGCAGGTAGACCAGTATATCCACCCTGCATTTGCATGGTTTCACAGCAAGGAATCATATCCCTAGCCCTGCAGTTTTGATTTTAAAAAATTCTTTTTTTAAGATATCATTTGTAGTATCCTAAATATAAAACACTTTAAAACAAAAACTTTCATAGTAAACAAACTCAAAAGATCTCTTCTAAGGTTCATGGTAAGTATAAAGTCAAAATCCAACACAGTAACAAAGGTAACTTGCACCTGCCTTTCTTGGGTATTTGTACGCTGCTGTTGAGTTTTTCACATGATCCTGAAGTTCAGCAATTAACTTCTCACGATTGGAGGACTTGAAGGGTGCAGCTAATACTATAAATGCTTTCACCACCTGCAGCAGAAAAGCCAATAACTTGTAAGACACATCAAGGGTTTGGAATCATTGCTGAACACAGGCACTGACTGTTCTTAGCAGTGCAAAACCAGAGACGCTAATTGAAGCTTGGGTACAGATTATAAACTACATCTGAGGATCTTCTGGAGGAATGGACTGAGTGGGGAGTGCTGAATTCTGTTTATATCACATGGATTAACATTTCTGCTCAGTTGATTGTATACACAGTCCTTGATTTGGAGGTGAACATTTATTTATGCCATGACACTTCCACAATTAGAGTCATGTTGGGCAGGCAATGGAGATTCTAGAGAATATGGTCTGAAGGGGATCTGACAGAAAGTACAGAATCAAGAAGGAACTTCTGTAAGAAGTTGTTGCCTCCTTTTTTTTTTTTCCTTAAGCAAGAGGATGTTGTTTAGAATACCCCTGGTATGTGAGAGGGAGACACAGAAAAAGATGTGGGCAGGTACTGATAGCCACACTGATTCAACATTCTTCTGCTTGCTAAATCTTCAGAAAACTTCCAGGAGGAAAGGGAGATGTGTCTCCTAAATAGACCTATGGGAGTTTTGGGGGGGGGGGGGACTTAGGGTATAATTTTCTGTTCTCATTTTTGTAAGAAATGTATTTTGAGCTGTAACAGTTGTAGGGGAGTTGAAATCTGGTGCTCTTGCAATGTCTGTTCCCCACAGAACAGCAGTACCCAAGTTGTCTAAGCAATATTCCCCTCACTTCATTCTGGCAGGACTCCCAGCACTTACCTCCCTTGATATTCTCTGACCAGCATATCATTCTTGTTCTAGTCAGTTGGCTACACCAATTGCTGAACCATACTGGCTAGAGATGTGATGGAATTTACTTGAAGCAGATGCAAAAAGTACTACTTCTTGGCAGGGTGTGCATGAGTTACACTTATCTGTGTCTGGAGCTGATTGCTATGTGATAAGAGGAACCAGCATGAAGCATCTCAGGCAGACAAGGTACACTAAGACTCCATAACACCACGGAGTGCTTGGATGAAGCTTGAACCCCTGAATTGAGGGGTGTTTCTGTCACGGGTCACCCAAAGAGTCCCAGACCTCTTTGGTACAGAACTCATTTGTAAAGCAGATTACCTGCATACATGTACCCTATGATGAGAATTAAATGAGTACCCCTGAGTTGGCTTTTGCCATAGGCACATGGACAGAACATGAAAATGACATTGCTGCTTTAGTCGTGGCATTCACTCTACCTCTCCTCGAATGGGATCTGGACTGCTGACAACAGCTGACTCAACTACTGCTGGATGCTCTATCAGTGCACTCTCCACTTCAAATGGCCCAATGCGGTACCTGTGGAGGAGAGGAAGCCTTTGATCATCACATTCTCCAAGTAGGAGATCTCCCATCCTGCCACACCATCACTTTCTAAGAACAGCAAATGTACAAACCCAGAAGATATAATGACATCATCAGCTCTGCCAACAAACCAGAAATATCCGTCATTGTCCATTACTCCTCTGTCTCCAGTGACATAAAAATTTCTTCTGATTGTGGCATCAGTCTTTTCTGGATTATCCTACCAATCAAAGATGGAATTTTGGGGGTTAGACTGGGCAGAACAGACAGGAGTGTGACATCCACTGAGTGACTTTCATGTCGTCATAGTTCTAAAAGAAGTCAGGTTTTTAAAAAGGGCAGTTCTATCATAGAACACAAAGGATCTAAGATCTAAGAACAAAACCTCTCCTGTGAACTCCAGGGCTTGCATGCAACTCCTCCCTCAGCCGGTCCACCTTTTCTTTCTAAGGACAGCCAATACAATTGGCTTCTTACATGTAGAATTCATCTTAATGTTACTCTCATGGAATGAATGTCTTTCTCTCCATTTTGCAGCTAATGAAATAGACCTGTATTTAACATTTACCCAAGACATAGCAATACATGGTGGGTATGAAATTTGGGCCCACTTCTGTATTGAGGCATGGCTAGCATGTTCTTCATGTTCATACCACATATTCGGAGAAGAAGCAGAAGGGCCGAGTAGATCCTAGTCTGAGGGCAATTTCCCCTTCTTTTCCAGGTGGTAGCACATTTCCATTTTCATCTATAATCTGGAATAAAATAAAAAATTTTAGTCTTTACCCCCTTTTTCTTTTCATAAAATGAAAACAGGTTGTGAATAGTAGTTCAAAGAGGAGAAAAACAGAAGAATTCTTTCTTCTTTCCTGAACCAGATATTTTCTCAACTCACCTGGACATCATAGGGCACTACTCCTTTTCCCATGGAGCCTGGTTTAATTTCTTGTCCTTTGCAATTGGCACAAATTATTCCCTATGAAGAGGGACATGTTTTATATAGGTCTATAAATTCTGACAATGACACAAAATTCAGTATTGGGGACTGGGGAGATGCCTAAATTAATAAAGTACTTGTCATCAAATGGGGAGGCAGCCAAATTAATAAAGTGCTTGCCATCAAACATGAAGACCTGAGTTTTGATCCCCAGCACTCACATAAAAAGCCATGTGTGGTGGTTGAGAACCTGTGAGCCCAATACTGGTGGAGACAGGCAGATCCCTTGAGATCACTGGCCAGCTAGGCTAACCTAATTGGTGAGTGCTAGAGTGAGAGAGCCTGTCTCAAAAAAAAAAAAAAAACAAAAGCAAACAAAAAACATGGAGGGGGCTGA